AGCATTGTCTTAAGGTTTTCCAGAAGCAAATGTTGCCACTATGCTAAGCATAGTCGATTACCTATATTCCATGGTATTTCAAGATTCCCAGAGATGTCTGCTCGGAGATCGACACGTGCTCGAGGAAAGGGAGTCCTGTCCAAACGACGATAGCTAGAGAGCTGGGACTTGCATAATTTTTTAGAGTAACATGCAGACTACCTATGCACGCAAAAAAGATTACTAACATTGTATATTAGTTTTCTGAGAACGAAGCTGGTTTTTCAAAGATCCATCTGGAAAGGCCCTAGAGATCCACTGGGAAATTTCAGTTTTCTTATAGGACTACGTGCCCCGGTGTTGGGTACATAACGGTGAAAACCCGACCTCGATAGCTGTTGGCGTTCTGGAGTTATTTACCTTGCAATCACTCACCTTCTTTTGTGAAATGGATAGTAGTTTATAGAGAATCTGGCCAAAACAAACACAGACAGCACCGACTCATCAACAAACTTTTGCATGGGGAACGAACGTTATAGTCTAAGTACTTTTCATTATTTTCCTCCGCGGCATATCCCTAATTTTATACCAAACGTGTCAGTCAAATTGGGAAACACTGGAACAAGGAAAGTCAACTAATAGGAGCCTCCAAAGACGGCCGAGACCAAGAGACTTATTCAACCGTACTACTCTGTTACTCACGCAATCTCTTTGTATCACCTGGAGTTCGCTAAGCCTAAGCAAATCGTATACTTTATTGTACTAAGTTTTCTCTAATGATCGTCAAAAATCTGGCGACTACTTTGCATCAGTGTACGGCTTGTTTACCAAGCCTCTCTACCAAGGTCGTGCTTAATTGCATTGCAATCTTTTTCATATTCTTCAGTTTCTTTGCTACATTTACGTTTTAAGTGTCATTTTGACGTCGTATAGTTTTCTTATGGTTTCTGTCATTGATAGGTCGATAAGTAGATTATTCCTATGAACTGTAACAGGTTTACCAGACCTGGTACTCAACAGACTGCGGATATAGATGGGGAAGAGTTCATATCCCAGCACATATGTATTTCAGACTCAAAGATGAAGTAAGTACTCAGTCAAATTCATATATTGACAGTTTAAGACGTCTGATTTTATGAGGGTGAATATAGCAAAGATTTTGGGCTCTAATAATGCCTGGTGTTGCCGGTATCATTCATAAAATACTACTACGATACAATCAGACTCGTGTGTGTGATTGTCTATGCAATACAATAGACACATCCTCATGGATTTTTTATTACCTATTACTGACAAATTATAGACAAGATGCGCTATGACCGGAACGGCCAACATTCATGTGCAAAAGAAAAGTTTAGAAATCATCATTTGTTTTCAATACACAAATTATATCTAGTAGTACTGCACTAGTCTGAATATATCTGTTTTATTGAAGAGAACAGAGCTGGTCACCAGTCGTTGAAAAGATGAGATTAACACTCTTATCAAAGACGTAAACTATTCAAATTTTGAATTTATGCATTTTTTATCTTTCTGATGATACAATATAAAATTTTCGTGTTTTCGAACATAAATAAACCTTTTACATTGTTTATTCTGGCTAGAAAATGTAAAATTAAACAAAGTTTTCCTTATTGTGATGTTGGTACCGTTGTTTGTTCAAACATGTACATATCGACCATAAATGTGAACGTAAACATGAAAACAATTTCACATATGCTTTTCTATATTTCACTTGAATAAACGGATATAAAAACGGATTAAATGCCGAATTGAGCCAAAGTAACCAGAAGGCGATTTCGAATACAAGAGAGGAAATATGAAATCCGGCAGTAGATGCTGTAGCCACGATCACATAGGGTAATAAAAAGATGAGAAAAACGACAACGAGAATGAAGAGTGAACGTGCTGCCTTTTTGTCTCGCATAATTCGAATGTCTCGTTGATGTCGACGAGGATGTCGATGAAGCCTTTTCGATGTGGTTGCAGCGGGAGCTGATACACGAGTTAATAATGTTTTTGTATTCTTAAATCTTCCAACAGCAACTGGTACTGGTGGACTACTCACAGTTTTTCTTAAATTGCCTTTGATAATGTGTGTTTTGTCAACAGGTGGACTTAATACAACACTCATCATGGGCATCGTTGGTCGGTCTTGTGATCCCGAACTACTTTTAATACAATTATTGCTATAGGTCACATCAGATGTGATTGTCTCAGAACTCTGTTTTTTTTCGGAAAAAAACCGTCTTTTCTTTTTTGACGATGGTGGAGAGACAGATTTTTGCTGTGCCAACGATTGATGTTCTCTGTTCTCTACAGCAGATGCTTTTGGTTTAGACGAAGAATTTTCCGGTTGAAACGATTTTGATACTTTTAATTGTTTTAAAGCATCATGTTTGTAGAGTACAGTGTCACTTTTTGAGAGACGTACGTATGGACAAGAACAATCAGAATTTCCTATAGTGAGCGAAAATGAACGATTTTTTGATCGATACTGAGTCGGTTTTAGTTGAATTTCACGTTGTGACGAATTGCAACAGACACTGTCTAATTCACAAATGGGATTTAGGAGAATGCCAGGTGATGAACGTTCGCAGGCGAACGATGACGGAACGCTTAGTGAATAACGACGGCGATGAGTAATTTTCGGACTGCTTGTATGACGAGGTTTTCTCATCAATGATAAGCGGGAATGTTTACCATCGATGGAATGACGCTTCATCAACGGAGGTATAGGTGAACTAAAATAAAATATCATCTTGGTAACAGTTAAAAGTTTGAAAATTGAGAGGAGAAAATGAAACAGTATTGACCAAATCTATTTTTTTCAAATGTATCAATAGACCTATATAACATATTATTTTCTCTGTTTCGATGTCATTATAACATAACTTACTAATTCGTCAGTTGTAATTCTTCTTCATGTTGTAACTGTGTTATCGACTTCTTCATTGGGGATAAACTATTTCGATAAATAAATATACCAGTTGTATGTGATCGTGTATTAGATAATTCTCCATTTGAATGTTCATTATTCACTTGTACCGATATACCTTCTGTTTCAGTTGATTTTACATAGCATGTTGCCGATGGTTCCATATATTCCGTTGTCATAGGTGATTTTCCAAATAGATGAAAAAATGTATCACTTGCACGACGACGTAATATTTTAAATTTACCGATAGCAAGCAAATCATCATCTTTCACTATATTTGAAACAATCGATTCTGGTGAATTATCGTTCGTATGATTACTATGAGTACTATGATTACTATGATTACTATTACTATTACTATTACTGTTCATATTAATTCGACGTTGTTTATGAGTAGGTAATGTTAAAAATTGTCTATCAATAGTTGAAAATCGTCGATCATTGTGAACACTATCATAGAATTCATGTTCACTCGCATAATCATCTTCAATATCAGGATATGAATCATTTTCTCCTTGTATCATAATACCACGACCACCATTACAATAATCTTGATCAATATTTGTATGTTTATCATTGATAAGAACAATTGTTCTAACACTTGATCGACGTCGAATTGAAGCATCTTTTTTTTTAATTTCTTTTGTATCTGATTTATCAGCAATCACTGTATTGGCTGTGATGCTCTGTGGAAATGTTTTTGTTTTATGTGTCATTTTTCTTGTGCGCTGCCAAATATTCCACATAATAAGAATATTAAGAATAAATAAAACGATAAATGGCCAAATAAAATAGTTAAATTGAGCAATTAACATGTAAATAAAACTGTGATTATAATCACCGGAACATTCAGATGTTACCAATGAAGTATTAACTGCACGATAATCGGGAGCTAAGATACTTATTAACCAAATACCGGGAGCAAAATTAACTAGAAAATAAGAAGATATAACAAAGTATTTAACCATTTTGTAGCTATCGTGGGGTCAATGTGGACCCACCTTACGGTTTTGGTTTCGCACTGCGTTGGTACTTATCTTCTCGGTCCACTCTTTTCCCTAATCGTCACTCTGTTGTTCATGCACAAGACCCTTATCAAATTTTATGAATAACTCTTGATAACAAAATTTTAGAGTATGGGTCCACATGGATCGCGGGACAGTCATAGTTTCATAGTTAAATCTGTCAAATCGGAGAAAAAAATTCTATTTCCAGACTAAGTCTGTTTACAAAGAGATTCTCATCTTGTAATGAGTTCCCCCCCTTCTCGCCCCGTCCAATCTGACTCAAAATTATACCAAAATGCTCGGTGTTATTTCCTCTATCAATTGTGAATGCATAAAAATGCACATATTTATCAAAGTCGAATTATAGATTTTCCAAACAACCCTTGATTTTAAGATATTTTCCATTTTTCTCAGCCAAGAAACACTTTTATTGAAAATTAATGTGATATTCGGAATCAGCATGAAAAATTATATCGAGTGGTGTATAATTTGTGAATTTTACAAATAAACTATTTTTTGACAAAAATTCAGGGCAAGGATCCTCCGCCTAAGGAATTTTTTTATCGAAAAAAAAGTTTTTTCCGAATTCGAGTCTTTTTACTTTTATTAATATCTGACGCATAATAAGACCATATTATGCGAAAATAATCATTTTTTAACTCAAGAAAACGAGATGACCGCCTGCTCTATTGAAACATGCCCACTGTGTCCCACTCATGTGAAAAAATGATCAAATAAGACAATACGTAGTAAACAAGCACAAAGAAATATATGTCAGAACAATGTCAATAGTGGACTTGAGAAACTACGGTTTTACGATTTTTTTTTATGCATGAAAAGTAAAAAGATAAACAAAGAATGGCTTTTTTCTTATTTTGTCATCTACAGACCCTGGATATGTCGGCATATGAGTACATATTCACCGACATATACTAAAATGATTCGATATATAATTTTTTCAGTCATATTTCAATATGATGATGTTAAAACGCTTGTCAGAAAATTTATCCTCGAAATTCCATGTTGGCATAACGCCGACATACATACCGATATATTCATGTGTAGAAAGAGCGTGATCAGGATATTTGATCAATGCATGAAACGTTTCGATCAAACAAAAAAGATGAAAGCTCTGTCATATGCCCACAGAGTGGATCCGATTGAACTCCAGGATAACTAGAAAGTCACAAAATGAGGTTAACTACGCAAAGTGAATGTTAAAAATTGATATAACGGATATGTAAAATTTTCTTAAAATGAATATTACTAGAGATATTAATGTACATACCAAATGATATGAACCAAACCGTACACATAACTAAATAGACTAATTGTTGAGTAGCATATTTTCGATAACTAATAGGATAAGCTATAGACCAATAACCTGAATATACACAATAAAATATATACAAGTAAAATAAAAAATTATATCAACGTACGATTAACAGATATTGCAACAATGTTGATTACACTAGCCATGGTCGCTACATCATCAACAGTTACCCATATTTTACAAAATAAACGACCAAATGGCCATAATTGAGATAAACTAAATAAATTTAAATCGAAATTAGCTCAGTATATTGACTATGTCTATTTTTTTTATACCTGAATGGGATATAAAATGGTATACAGAAAAATCCCACAAGAAAATCAGCTATTGACATGTTCAATATAAAATAATCTAAATAAAAGTATATGTAAAAATGTTGCAACAATAACTAACAGTGATACTAAGAAATAATAATTTATATTTTCTATTCAATTGAAAACTAAAAAACATTCAAATTTGTTTAATTACAACAATCAAATAAATTAAAATTTTTTTCTAATATCAATTATAGGATATATTTTAAATATTTATTGTATATTTCAATTCTATGTCAACTGATATTAAATTTTTTATTTAAAAAACAGTTATTTTTCTACTTACCATTGATTGTTCGTAATTTTTTATCAAAATAAAATGCTAGTATAACAATGATATTTCCAATAGATGTAATTAATGCAACTAAACTTAGACAAACACCTAATAGCACCGTTAAAAATGGCGAAAATGTTGTCGACGACGTTATTGTCGTTTTAATAGTAACAGTATTATTACTTGAAATTAAAAATAAAACAGTATCATTTGACGAATGATGATGATGACTATTATTTTCTAATAAATAACTGTTATGTAATACAATTGTTGTTAAAAGAATATGTTCTTGATTTGATATTGAACAATTATTACAAATAGTTGAAGTTGTATAATCCATAATGATCTAACATATTTTCATATTTAGTCACGAAAACATTGAAATATTTTCTTAAAAATAATTTTTTTAAAAATAAATCGTTGTCGTTATTATTAATAATATTATTCTATTATTATTATTATTTTTTTCTATAATAAAAGAAATAAGATAAAAGTCAATGATTAATCAAGATCTTCTTTCTTTTACCTTTAGATCACGAAGAAAAGAAAAGAGAAGAGTAAGGAAAAAAGGTAATCATATACATATACATGCATATATGATGATGATGATGATGATGATGATTATGATGTTTTCCGTGTTAGAGTAAAAAATGATAAATGGTTACCAATGGTGTATGTGTGTATCTTTCATTGTTAGAAGCAAGATGTTCTTAGACGACGCTTCGTTCTTGAATTCTAACATAGAACAGAAGATATGTGTGTGTGTGTATATATTTATATACATATGTGTTTTTGACATACGATAAAATCAATCAATTTTTCTGTTTGTAGTTGATAGAAATAAAATATGATAGAATATAATCACACGTCAAGGTAGTGAGTTGACCTCATCTAAATAATTAGCAAAAGAAAAAAAAAGGCCGAACAATGTTCGACTTAACATTATCATTATAATTTGAAAAATTAATGTAATGATAGAGTATTAAATGATAACCTGCTTATTATAGTCTATACAATGAATAAGATTCAAACGTAAATGAAGAGGTTGATACTTAATTCAACTAGAACATCTAATTTATTTTACTCTACAAGATAAAAGTAACAGTAAATATTTTCTAATTTAAATTTAGTTTTTTATAAATAAGATATTTTTTTTTTATTAAAAAAAACAAAAACAAAAACTAAAACAATAATAAGATATCAATGTTTGACTAGAATTTTATCCAAAAATAATACAAGTCTATACTAAACGCGGTAGAAAGCACTTTATCATGCACGGTATGTAGATATAATTAAACAAATGTGTATTATGGCTATATGTGAAAACATCTAGGATATTATATTGCTGACATAAATGTATTATTTATTAAATGTTTTAATGATTGATAGTGCTAGATAAATTTTTTTGAAAACACAAATGACATTCGTGCTGACAAATGTTTTATATACAAGTCAAAACGAGAGAGTTCGAATTTTTCTACGAAATATTCATCGATTAGAATTAACTATAAAATGTCAACATTTTCAAATAAAATTATATAAAAAAATTTTTAAGCCTTTCACTCTCCAAGAATATATAGAAAACTTTCTTTATTTTTGTTTTTTCAATCAATTATGATGAAACTTATACTAATTGTGTGTCTGTGTACTCAAATGTATACTGTTGGAAAAATATTTCAGATCAACATTAGAGTCCTGCAGGTTAAACCTAACCTAACTAGATTTCAGGCATGGGCGAGTCCGGGTCCAGACTGGAAGATTTTTTGGCGGATTCTGACTCGGACTCAAGATTCTTTTGAAGGACTCGGATTTGGACTTGAGTTTTTGTATCTAGAGCGCATTAAATGCGAAAAGAAAAATAAACTACCCTCATCAACAAAGAATCTAAAAGATTATCCAACTCGAAATGAACTCGGACTCGGACTCGCCCATGCCTGCTAGGTTTAGGTTGAAAAATTTATCGATTATATAAAATTATAGGTAATAACCGATTTGTTACCTTAAAAAAAACAATTTTGAGCCACATACCAAATAGTTGGGAGATAAAGCATAACTTTATTGAATCAAGTAACAAAATAGTGGCACAATACGGACATACGTTTATGTTCTTTCTCTCTCTGTCTCTCTGTATACACTGGAAAACTTGACATCAGAAACGTGAGCGATTATGCCATCCACTTCTCTGTATTGTACATCAAGGTAAGTGAATGAATTTCCTTTATTTAGCATTCTCACCATCCCACTTTAGCACATCAAAAGTGTTATTCTACTGGGTGACTGATAATCTATTTTTGGAAAGAGTGGTTTGTCGGTCACCCAGTAGAATAACACTTTCGATGTGCTAAAGTGGATGATGAGAGTGGTAAATAAAGAAAATTTATTCACTTACCTTGATGTATAATACGGAGAAGTGGACAGCATGATCACTCACCTTGCTGATATCAAGTTTTCCGGTGCACTTCTTCTATCGCTTAAAATATCTTTAATTTAAATTTAAATTTAACTAATAAGAGTGAAAAGTAACAGAATAAAAAAAGGAAATGAAGGAGAATAAAAAAGAAATTCTATTTTTGTCAAAAGATGGCGAATATAGAACGATAACGTCCGAACCAACATCCAAGCATCTATTCAGCGCAAATGGTCGTATATTAGAATAAAGAAGATAATCTTTAAAAAGTGATATAGTGGACGATCTTTTGTTTTTTCGTAATTTTCTAAAAACTGTGTGATTGTTTTTTTTCTGGTTGAAAATAGTCGCACAAGCTAAATTAGATTAATCTAAGTTAAATGAACGAAAAAACTTTATTGTTCAGTTAGGTTTTGGTTGAGAGATTAATAGGTTAAGATTGAGATTATGAAAGTTTTTATAGATTCAGTTATAGATTCCCAAAAAGTCGTAATCTGCAGTGCTCTGGTCAACATTCTTTTGTGTGTGTCCGAGTTAATGATAAAACATGGATCACTTGACTATTTCCAAAAATTTTTTTATTTGGTTTGCTTCGTATGATTTTTTGATGAACGTAAACGTATATTCGATCAATTTGATTCGTTTTCTTTATAGCTGATTTAATTAAAACTCGAAAAAATTCTATTCAAAGTATTCTAGAAAACATTAATTTCAAGAAAGACTAAAATAAATATAAAAAGTTCGGTCATATAGTTTTATCTCTTCTTTCTAACACAAAACAAACTTCAGTATTCTACTACGTTGAATTGATGAGAAAAAAATTAAAAATTCTTTATAATTTTCGTTAAAAAAAAAAAGAACAGTGAAGTATATAGAAGGATAACTCAAAACAGATTATATGAATTATTATCTAAGCCTTATTTTTGAATATTTATGAGGATGAATATGGCCGTATTAGACATCATTCGAACGAACATTTTATCAACAATCTTATGGTATCATTTTTTTTAACTTCCTAAAAGAAAAAACTTCCATAACTATTTTTATTTAGAAAAAATAAAACAAAAGAAAATACTTGAAAAAATATCGGCTAAAAACTCTGTTTTTTGCCCGAAAAACTTGTTCGAATCTAAAAAGTAAACACTTTAATTGATTTCTTTAGGCAATAAAAAAAAAAAAGAAAAAAGAAAAAGAAATCGACTTTTTTTATATAGGGATATTCTTTATAATAGAGTATGTAGAAGAAGAAGAAGAAAAATAAAACAGTCTATTTTTGGTACTCACTTTCCTAGACATTTTTCACAACAAAACAACTGGTATTATAGTTATTTTTATATATTTAAAATCTATGACATTGTAGACAATAATTTTTTTGATATTTCAATTTCTGTAACATTTACATAAACAAAACATAAAAGTAACCGACAAAAAGTATTCAACTGTCTAATTGAGCATATATAATCTCTCTCTCTCTCTCTCTCTCTGCTTTAACTATTTTGACTGTCAACTTTTCCTGTTTTCATAATTAAATAGAAAAACAGAAAAAAGGAAATTATCCTTAAGTAATGAGAAAGAAAAGACTAAAAAACTATACTAGTCTATTGTTTTACATATCATGATGATATAAAGAAATACATCTTTCTACTATAAATATAGACATGGAATATGGGCACGGTTGTCATGTATCAACATGATGTTATGTATATGTATATATATCATCGATAGAACAGACAACCAAAGATAAATTATTCTTAGAATTGTTTACTCTATAATAATGGTTATATGATTGATTATCATAAATCTTCCCAAATATATAATAGAGTGTCAAAATGTGTTAATAAGATGAAGAAGTAAATAATCACCTAAGTCACTAATTGAACGACGTCAATTTATAAAAGATATGGACTTGATAATAGCAAATGATGTTTGTTTCAGTACATAGTTTATTTTTTGTTTTATTTTTTATTCAGAATCAAGATTTATTCTTAGTTTTAGCATATAATCTTGCTTCATAGTCTTACATTCTGATGAAAATTATATTTTTTTTTTAATAAATTTCATTAATTTTACACTACAGATTATTTTTACAGTAACCATGAATAAAAAAGAAGTAGAACAATTTTAATCTCAAAATTACATCAACGATAAACTCAATTATTCTTTACATTTGCATGAGTATTTACTATCGTCATCATGTTTTATCGAAAGTATGAACACAATAGGGAATAAAATCAATGGTTCAATCATCCGATGATCAATCATAGTTAGTTGTGATAACATTAAAAAAAACACATTACAGCGTCATTAAAATATGTCAGATATTTTTAAAGAAAGACCACCTTTGATTTTGTTCAAGCATGTGAACTGATTGACTCTCTTCTATATATTGTTTAAAATTGTTTGTATATAGAAAAACTCTCTCAAGATTATCAGTTCCATTTGCCAAACTGTTTCATTGTTAACGTAGAAGCATTTTAAACATCATTCTTGTACATCGTTGAGAATACTCTAGTACACTTGTTTTTTATTAATAAATTCGAGATTGTCATACAAAGTTGCTAAGAACTCCAATAAAACAAACTTTTTTACATGTAGATTTCATTTAATTGTCTTTTATTTTAAACATGTCAAATGGTAAAACAACACACACTTTGCTCGTCAGAATGAAATGAGGTATAATTTTGTGTCTTGTGTATTGAAAAACTGTAAGGGCTGTATCGACGGATTTTTGTGTCAATTAGAAATACGAATTCAAAAAACTAAGAAAGCAAATCTTCAGATAGAACAAAGTTTTGATGATGATATGTAATTTATTTGACCAACTTGACTTCTACAACTGACTAATGCTATTAAGAAGTGTTAGCATAGTACTGATCAACTTGTATCATGTTTATAAGATGAATCGGAATTTTGCCACCTGAATTTCGATAATA